GCCCACCCCCCCCCACATACACACACACCACACCACCACCACCACCACCACCACCACCCCTCTCCAAGGTTGCAACCAGAGACGAAAAGTTAGAAGGACGTTGGTCGAACTGGTATCGATCCTGGGATTCCCTTGGTAATTGAAAGCAAATTTCAAACAGTTCCCCAATCAATATCCCTTGAAGACTAGCGCCTGAACTCCTGGGTAAAACTCCCATTTCCTCAACTTTCTCTTCTTCTTCTTCTTCTAGTTGAACAAAATACATCATTAATTCATGGAATTGTAATTTTTAACTTTTGGGGGGGAGTTGTCAGAGGACAGTTTGCAGGAGCCAGGTTTTGCCTTCCACGCTTTGGGTTCCTGGAATGGAACTTAGGTCATCGAACTTGATGGCTCGGGTTTTTACTCACTGAGCCTTTCCCAACAGCCCCTGTCTCCTCTTTAACCACAGGAGCAAACTGAGGCCCAATCACAAAGTAAATGGATGTTAGCGCTCAGGCCAGCACGGGTTTGTCCAACTGCCCAGCCATCAAGACCCTTGCCCGGGCAGGGCAGTAGAAGGTTGAAACAGGTGTCCCATGCTTCTGTCTCTCTGTGGAGAGAGGCTGACTGACTCTAGGCACAGTAACTGCGGGTGAAGACTCTAACTCTCTAAGTGCCCACTTCCTGTCCTTGCCTAGAGGGAGGAGGGGGGAGTCCCAGGCAGGGCCTTGGAAATCCTGAGTAATGGACAGGAGCCTGTTCGGGACTCCGCCCAGAGTTGGTTGTTGTAAGCAGGCTACTGAGAGGGGAAACCACTCACGTGGGAGGGAGGGACTGTTTTTAAGAAAAAGCAGAGGAAAACAAAATTGTGAAGTTGATAAGGGAGTTGGAACTGGAAAGAAAGTACATAGAACTATGTTGCCAACAATACGCATTATTTACAATATCTAAAGACCCTCTGTGTGCCAGACACTACTTTTCCTTTGCGTCATTTATTCTCTGCAAGCCAGAGAGATGGAAACTAATTTGCTTCCCACTTTGCAGATGAAGATACTGAGGAACTATGAGTCAGTTGTCCAGGGTCCCAGTAGAAAATCCCAAGTGTTCACACCAACTTCCTCGAATTTCCACCTCCTCCCAACCTTTGTGACCGTCCTTCTTTTGCCCTGGATGTGCCCCAGCCACACAAGCCATCCAACCCTAGATCTTTCTTCTCACTGAGGATTCCCTAGATAGGCAGGCTACCTGTGTACTGAACTTGGTCTCCTAACTCTAGCCAATGAAAACAAGGAAGGGAGACAAAAGAACCACACAGGGAAACTTGGTAGGCCCTCTCATGCATAGCCCCAAACCAGTCTCACACACAGTAGAGAAACTATGAAGTGGGGTTCCAGGTCACTGATAATAGCATTTCAGCACCAACTGGAGGGCTGCTTACAAGTCAGCTCCAAGCCTACAATTCCAGCTATACTACTATAGAAATGTAGGTCCTCCATGCCGGCTATTCCAGTACTCAGGAGGCTGAGACAGGAGGATAATGAGTTTGAGAACAGCCTGGGCTAACAGAGAGACCTTGTCAACAAAAATCAAGCAAACAAACTACACCCATAGGAGACTCTAGTATAATGAACATGGGAGTTTATCATCAATCTCTGGAACACTCTCAATGCCAGGCACAATGGTACCTGCCTGCAGGTAGAGATGAAGAGATCATAAGTACCACATTAACCTGGACTACATGAGAGATTCCACCTCAAAAACAGCCAGGCATGGGGGTTAGAGAGATGGCTTAGCAGTTAAGAGCAGTGGCTGCTCTTCCAGAGGTCCTGAGTTCAATTCCCAGCAACCACATGGTGGCTCACAACCATCTATAATGAGAGCTGATTCCCTCTTCCGGTGTGCTTGAAGATAAGACAGGTCACTCATATACATTAAATAAATATTAAAAGGAAAAAAAAGCCAGGCATGATGGTATACGCCTTTAATCCCAGCACTTTTGAATCAGAGGTGAGAAGATCTCTGAACTTGAGACCAGACTAGACTAACAGAGTTCCAGGGCCATATCATGAGACACTTTCTCAAAACAAAACAAAAGAAAACAAAAGTGAAAAGTGGGGAATATGGTGACTTATTCCTCCAATCCCCCAAATCTAAGAGACCAAAGAAGGAGGATTGCTCTAAGTTTGAGGCAGTTTAGACTACAAAGTGAGTCAAAAGCCAGATTGGAAGATAAATAAATAAATAAGCAAATATAGATCTTGTTGTGATGCAGAACATGTGGGAGCTCCTTGTTCATCTCTGACTAAAAATAGTGTCTGAGGTACAGACATCTGGGGAGAGGAAGGACCATCAGTTGGGTCAGGCAGGAGGACACCTCCTAAAGGTTAGAGAGACATATTCAAAGGGATAGAGACTCTTCTTAAAGGAAAAAGAACATGAGCAGGAAAGAAAAAAAAAAGCCTGGTAGACACTAGCATGGGAAAATAAATGAAGAAACCGATGGTCCCAGGGCACCTAGGAACTAACAAGCTTATCTGGTCACCTCCTTACTGCTCCAGTTGGACCATTCTTTCCCAGAATTGCACAGAGAGCCGCTGCTAGCTAGGGCCTGAGTGTAGGGTCCAGGGTTTTGGGAAGAATTTCTTCCCTGCCCATCTGCCCGTCTAGCTCCAGGGTAACCTACTCCCACTTGACTCCAGAGCTGTGGGCTCTGTTTGTGATGCCATCCATTACACTGATCTGGGGAGATGGAGGTAGAATGAACACCTCCAGATAGCCTAACAAACCTGATTCGGTGAAGACACTGTGGTTCCTTTGGGATGTGACTCACAAGGATGATGTCACAATGGGTTTGGAGGTGTGGCTCTTCCCTTTAAGCTAAGATAAAGCAGTCTCCTTCACATTCCCTTGCCTGCTATTCCTGAGTGGATAGGATGGAGTGGCATGGGCAACTCCCATGGCCTGTAGTCCACTGGACAAGTGACTTAGGAGGTCTGTCTCAAGGACAGACATGAACAGAAATGACCTCAAATCCAAATCTATACAGAAATATTGGTTAGAGATTTATATAGTCAAGGAAGAAAGCTCAATGGCTCAGTAAGGCTCTCAGTAGGCGCCCCTGACATGCCAGGTACAAACATAGGTGGTGGTGGCTGTTAGAGAGGAATGAGGGGTTGAGGGGACCTACCCAAGGTGTCTGCCTGTCAAGGTGATGAATGGTCCAGGTTGGGGCTGGCTTTACCTAATGGGTAGAATTTTGTCGGGCAAAGGAACCAAGAGCCAGGTATGGTGTCACATAACTGTGATCCCAACACTGGGAAGGCTGCACTAGCCAGGGGAATCATGAGTTTGAAGCCAGCCTAGGCTACATAATGAGACACCGTCTCAAAAAAAAACTGAGACTGTCAATATATTCTAAGTGGCAAGATCAGTGTCCAAATACTCTGGCATCAGCAGGCCTAAAGCAGAAACCTAGGGTGAGAGGGTTAGCTAGGGAAGGTGGGGGTAACATAGGAAGGGGTATGATTCTTCCCCAAACCCTGAATCTGTCAATCCTGGATTCCTTCTTCATATGAGGTTCCTACCACCCCTATTTTTTAAGAGGAAAGATGGGTGAATTCCATCTTCAGTCCTGTGTCCAAGATCCTACCAGTGGAGGATATTTGGGACAAAGAAAAGGAAGAGGAGGAGGGGGAGGAAGAGGAGGAAGAGGAGGAGGAGGGAGAGGAGGAGGAGAATGTAGACAAAGAACATGAGAAAGAGGAAGAGAACAGGTACGTATGACATAGCGCTGTTACTTCTGCCTCCTCCATCCCTCTGTCCAGCTCCCTGGAGATCCTCAGTCAATCATCTTGGCCTCTGCCACTCCGCTGCTTCCTCTTCACCCTCTGCCATTCTTTCTTTCTTGTCTCAGGATCAAGGCCCTTCTCGGAGCACCCCGGAAGGACTCAGTGTGGGGCCTGATGGCTTGGCCCAGGCCCTCCCCAGAGCAAGCCAGATGGTGGGAAGACTTTTCCCTGCCCCCACTCCGTGGAACCTGCCTCTGCCGGTGCAGACTGAGGACAAAGATGAGGCTCCACCCGCTGCCCTCCCTGGCCTCCTGCTCTTCCTCCAAAACCGAAGAAGAGTATAGCTGGCTAAAAAACCAGCCTCTGATGGAGCCTTCCCTAGTTTCCAGACTGAAGACCCCCAAGGCAGTGCCCAGGATCCCTCCCAAGGTCTCCCCTAAGAGATCTACTGTCCCCAAGCCTGGGCAACAGCAGAGCCCAATGTCAATGTGGCCTCCAATTACTAACTCCCCCTCCAAGAGGTCCACTTTTAAGGGACAACACACATCCTCTGCCAAGGAGGCTTCCCATACCCCAGGTGCCTGGGGCAATCCCTTGCCTCACCTTCCTTCAAAATAAATATTTTTGTTACACCAGCCAGTCTAATACAGTTCTAGGCACTTTCAGGTGTATTTGCCCATGAAATCCTCACAATATTTCTAAACCATCCAAGTATAGGTCAGGTTCCCCTACCCCTACTCCCAACAGGGCCTCCCGCTGTTCAGGCTGATCTCAACCTTACTTTATAGCCAAGGAAGTCATAGAACTTCTATTCCTCCTGCCTCACTTTGGAATGCTGAGGTTACAGGCATGTTACCATGCCCAGTTTATGGTCTGAGCTACAGCCGTAGCCTTTATTTACATCACTCCTGCATGGGAGATTTCACCCTCATTAGTTATTCAATTATTTGTGTCAGCATGGACTCAGGTATGTTTATGTTACACTTTGAGTATTTAATTCTGGTGTATTCATTTGGCTGCTCAGGTCGTTACTATTGGATCGTGGGGTGGGGAGGGGGGTACGTCCAATGTTGTATCCAGTGTCCCTTTGGCATATTCACGTCAACACAACTTTGACAAATGGGCGAGAATTACAAAGCACTAAGAAGCTAAGCATGTAGCACATGCCTATAATCTCGGCACTTGGAAGTGAGGGGCAGGAGGATTGCCACAAGTTCCAGGCCAGCCAGAGCTATATATAGGGAAACCCTGTCCCAAAACAAAGTAAAAGCTACTGCTCAGAACCCACAGCTGACTTTGTGACTCTCCTGCCCTGGTCTGGACTCAGCTGTGTCTCCAAGGTACCCTGCTTCCTTTTATTGGAAGTCTAGATGTGGGTACCACGTGTACTAGTTACCACTACTGTCAGAGACATGTATGTGTGCTCAGGTTCACTCATGCTCACATGTAAGTGGGGGCCAGAGAACAGCCCCAGCTGTCATTTCGAAGATGATATCCATCTTCTTGTCTTTTTTTAAAGGACAGGGTTTCCCACTAGCCTAGTAATTGCCAATTTAACTAGACTGGCTGACTGTGAGTCCCAAGAATCCTCCTATCTGTGCTTCACAGTTTTGATTATACCCACGAGCCAGCATGCACAGTGTTTTTCTTTGTCAGTCCTGGGAAACTGGCATGAATCCCCCCTGAGTTGACCAAGGAAGGAGCTGAACTAAGGACACCTGTGGTTCTATAGCTCCCAACGTGCACAGTGGGGGCCCAGCCGAGCCCACCCTGGATGGAGCCAACTCATTCTCCCTAAATGTGGACAGTGAGCATCGGCTCGCTAGCCTACCTGCTCTTTACCTCAAGCTTGAACCTCCCGCACACAGCTGTCTGGCTACCAACTCCAGTCAAGGAGTATGACAGCAAAAGGAAGGATGGGAGGTTCTGATGAGCATGTTTGTCCCTGGTGTCCCCCTGGCTGGCAGAACTAGCGGTGTCTGTGTCCCTGTGGAGGAAAGGCCGCAGCGTCCTGTCTGAAGTGCCCTGCTTCCCAGTGCCCTGTTGGTACACGATTCACTCCCTTGGACCTCAGTCAGCCCTGCTGTCTCCCCCGGCTCCACTGCACAGACTTTCCAGTCAACTCTCGCCCTGACGGTTGTACGGACATAGAGACATGGGCTAGAGGCACAAGTTGAGAGCTGAAACTCTAAGTGTACCTTATATGATGGTGCGGAGGAGTATATGTTTGTACATACATGTTCATGTGCGCACACATGCGGAGGCCAGAAGTAGACAGCTGGTGTTCTCCTCAACTGCTCTCCCCTTATTTTCCTTTCTTTAACATTTTATTTATGTGGGTCAGCAATATGACTCGACTACTAAAGGTCCTTGCGGGCAGCCCTAGTAATTGAAGTTCAATACCCAGGACCGATCGTGTGGAGTGAGACTTGCCCTCCGACCTTCACATATGCACTGCGGCACAAGCCTCCCCTATAACTATAATAGGAAATTTTAAGTTATTATTAATGTGCATGCATGTTGTTGGGGGGCGCACACACCACGGCACACATGTGGAGGTTGGGGAGCAACTTCATCAAGCCGCTGCACTCTTCACCTTAATGTGGAAGGGATGAACTCAGGTTCCTGGTTTGTGCATCAGGCACTTGTACTTAATGACCCTTCTCACTGGCTCCACCATATATATATATGGTTTTTTGAGACAGGGTTTCTCTGTGTAGCTTTTGGAGCCTATCCTGGCACTCGCTCTGGAGACCAGTCTGGCCTCGAACTCACAGAGATCCGCCTGCCTCTGCCTCCCGAGTGCGGGGATTAAAGGTGTGCTCCACCAACGCCCGGTGTGTACAGATATTTTGCCTGCATGTAAGTCTGTGTACCACACATATGCCTAATACCTGAGGAGGCTGGATGAGAGCATTGGATCCCTTTGAACTACTCACAGACAGTTGTGAGCCACCATGTGGGTGCTGGGTATTGAACTCAGGTCCTCTGGAAGAGCAGCCAGTGCCAACTGATAAGCCATCTCTCCAGCCCCACACCACCCCTGTGCCATACACACTTTTATTTTGAGGCAGGATCTCTTTCTGAACCCGGAGCTCACTGATTGGCTAGAGTGGCTGGCTCAGCAAGGTCCAAAGACCCTCCTATCTCCACCTCCAGCATTAGGGATTTTGTTCTTTTTCTTTTCTTTCTGACATGGTTTCAAAAGCTCTGCCCCACTGCACCCAGATTTTAATATGTACTCGAAGGGTCTGAACTCAGGTGTCCCTGCTTGTACCAAAAGCCCTGAGCCATCTCCCTGGCCCACAGCTGAGATCTTTGAAGTTACTAGAGCGTTTCCTCTCTCTGTTGCTGTCCCCAGTGCTCCTCCCAGCTCCTCCCTGACTAGATACTACTTCCACCTCTGTCTTGGTGCTTCTTGGTGCCAGTCCTTCCTCTGCTGTCTCTGGCTTCCCTGACTCTGCCATCCTCATCTGTCTATCTGTCCCTTACTCCATGCCTACCTCCCCCCAACAGTGTCTCACTGTGTGTTTCTATCTGGCCTGAACCTCACTGTATAGATCAGGCTGACCTTGAGCTCACATACCCACCTGCCTCTTACCCTCAAGCACTAGGATTTAAGGGCTGCACCACCATGCCCAACACTAACGCCTAGCTATTCCTCTTTGTCCATTTCTGGTGGCCACCCCATCTCTGTCACCTACCTTTTTCACCCTGCCCTCTTTATCTTCCTGGGCCTGCCTCGTGCTGTCTGCCTCTGTCCTGGTGGCTCTCTCCTGCCCGTGGCTTTCTTTGGGGTTTTAGCAAAAGGCACTGTGTCAGGGCAGGATCCAGGAGGAAAGCAGCTTCCCTAAGTTGGTTCAAGAATTAGGCTGTGATGAGGATTTACAGAAAGGCCATTTCTGGAGCCCAGAGGAGGCACTAGGGAGAAAGACACTGCAGAGGCTGCCGGTGCTGAGGTCAGTACTGGAAAAGATCAGGAAGGCATCGGTACCATGAGTCCAGCAAAGGCTGGAACCTACAAGGGTGGAGAGGCCCTGAAGGAGCTGCAAACTCAGAACGTAATCTCCCCAGAATCTCCAGGCTGCTCCCACATCCTCCCACCCTCAGAATCTCTTATTGGCCACACCCAAGAGAAAGCCAAACAGTAGCCTCCCAGGGGCCAAACTAAGGTGAGGAGCAAGGCAGGGGCAGCCTGTGGAAGGGACAGACAGGGTCACCACTTCCCAGAGGCCTGGCTGAGCAAATCCTTCTGTCATCACCCTCCAGGGCAGGTTCCCAAGCCTTCCTGAGCCAGAAAAGCAGAGTGTGATGCAGGGGAAATTCAGTTCCTTATTGTCAATGCCATACATGTCCCTTCCCCAGACAACCCCTGCTCTGCTCCTGTTTTACTCAGGATTAAATTTATGGGTCACAAAATGCAAGAAAATAGTTACATATAAGAGATACAAGTTTGGGCTGGAGAGATGGCTCAGGGGTTCAGAACACTGGCTGGCTGCTCTTCCAGAGGCCCAGGATTCAATTCCCAGCACCCACACTGCAGCTCACAATTGTCTGTAAACTCCAGTTCCAAGGGATCTGACACCCTCACACAGACACACATGCAGGCAATACATCAATGTACATTAAAAAAAAAAAGATACAAGTGGTTTTAGCTCACAATCAGAAGCCTCATACATAAGCAACTCAGGGGCGGGGCAGGATGCTCAATGGATAGATAGCTTCAGAACACGGCTGTGATCTGAGTTTACAGATGAAAGAACAGACTCTACAGAATCCTCTGACCTCAACATGCATGCATGCCACATGCACACCCACACATCATACACAGAAACAGTTTTTAAACCAACTCAGGGTTGGTTTGCTAGTTCACAAAGTCCTCAGAATTCCAAGCCCCTCCTTTTGAGTCATCTTCCTTAACCCATGGCTTCTATCCCATGATCCAATAGAGCTCCCCAAGCTCCAACAATCATACCCTCTGAGGACCCCGACGGACATGTGCGCATTAGCCTGACTGTCAAGACTGTGCTGAGCTGCAGAAGCATCTGCAAAGTGTAGCCCTTCTTCTGGGTGAGGAGCATTACAGCAGAGGATTGCTGACTCAAAGTCATAGGTACTGGGGCCAGCTACTAGCTGATCACACAGAGCAGGTGCTGCTGCAGGGTTTGGGGTGTTCGGGAAACGACCCCAAGGAGCATTCCTGCATCTATCTTTCCACTGTTGAATGATGAGTAACAGAGACATGCTCCTGAAACCACCACCTAGGAACCAAGGCCATCAGTTATCTTTCTACCCTTCCCTTCCTCTCCCCCAGAGCAATCCACAAGTCTTCTCTTCCCTACCCTTCTCCTGACCTCACCTACTGACAGGCTCTCCCTTTCCTAGCTCACCTATTTCACAGATCCACCCTCCCCTGATCCAACCTACTTCATAGACACCCTCCTGACCCCTCCCTTCAGACACACCCTCTCCTGACCCCTCCCACTTCACAGACACACCCTCCTGACCCTCCCCCTTCAGACACACCCTCTCCCGACCCCCCCCCCTCCC